GGTTTAGAGAGAGTTACTGCCTCAAGTGAGGGAGTTCAAGTATCTCGGGGTCTTGTTCACAAGTGAGGGTAGAATGGAGCGTGAGATGGATCGGCATTTTGGTGCGACTTCTGCAGTGATGTGTGCGCTGCATCGGACCACCTACGTCCCAGCACTCACCTATGGTCATGAGCCCTAGGTAATGACCGAAAGAATGAGATTGTGGATACAACCACTTTTGTGGGGTGGCTGGGCTCAGCCTTAGAGATAGGGTAAGGAGCTTGGACATTATGAGGGAGCTCGGAGTAGAGCCGCTGCTCCTTCGCGTTAAAACGGGTCAGTTGAGGTGGTTCGGGAATTTGATCAGGATGCCTCCTGGGTGCCTCCCGTTAGAGGTGTTTCGGGCACATCCCACTGGTAGGAGGCCCCCGGGGCAGACCCAGAACACGCTGGAGGGATTACATATCTCATCAGTCCTGGGACCGCCTTGGGGTCTGGAAAGCGTTGCTGGGGAGAGGGACGTCTGGGGTGCTTTGCTTGGCCTGCTGCCCCTGCGACCCAGCCTTGAATAAGCAGATGGAAATGGATGGATGGATGTTTGTATTCCATACCGTGTGATATGGTCCTGAGTCAAATAAATTAAATGTGAAATTAATTATATCTGTAAAATAAAGTAACCATTAAGCAATTCACATAGAACAATAACTTTTATTGAAACTTTTAAATGAACACTTGATTTGTAGGCTACATGCACAATCACAGTGTTTTGGGGATTGTCAGCACACACTGCAGTGTCTCAGACTTCTGATTTTGTTTCTTCCAGACAGATTATTTTCCTTCCATTTAACTTAAGTCTACTCAGAGACTTTTTGACTGAGCAGTGAACACTCTGTATGTGTGTGTGTGTGTGTGTGTGTTATCTTGTTGCCAAGGTTATGTTATCATTGTTAGGTGATGTTATAAGTGCAGATTGATTTGCACTGTGTAAAATCTATTCATCTCTGCAGTGTGAGCAAAGGTTAAGAGATGCAGGCAGTTCTCTGCTTCTGGCTGTTTTATGCTCTGCACCCACATGATTTCTCGGTGACCTCTGCTGCACACCACACTGCAAAAATCAGTTTGGTAGCATCACAAATCAATCTCACAATGTTCTTCACAGTAATCCCACTCACTTTCATTACCATAAACACTGTCTCCATAGCTAAGGGCACTTTAAAACAAAACTAGTTTCATTTTCTGCAAATTTCCCTATAGAAGCCTTCACAAAAACATTTGTTTAGAGTTACCATGATTGAGGAGGAGGATGAATTTACTGCAGGCTGATGTCTTACATTTGGAGACAAACAGAGAGGTACAGTAGATGAGTGTGTAGGAGGAGGCAGGTTGTAGAGGTGCAGTTTAGGTGTAACTTTCCTCCTGGATGTCAATTATAGGACTCTTTTAAAAGAAATATATGCTGAGCTTGTGCTTTGCTGGCACACTGCTGACAATAAACCCCCCAGGAGCTGCCCAGTGACACAGCACTCGACCAACACTGGCCTGTCATGAAGCTCTGCTGGAGTTAAGTGCCTTGCCCAAGGGCACTTCAAGAGCAGTTGTTAAAGAACATCCTTTAAATAATGAAAGTTATTTTAGTAAGTAAAAAATTCAGTTATTTTAATCACACAAGTAAAGTCAGTATCCAGTATCTTAAAATCCCATCTTAAAGGTCCAGTTTATAGGATTTAGTGGCATCTAGTAGTGAAGCTGCAGAACTGCAAATCCAGTGTGTCGCGCCTGGTCTCACTCCGAAGTCCTCAAAATCCAGTGCTTTGGCAGTGACTTGTGAAGTCAGACGCTGATGAAAAAAGTCGTCCTTTAATGTTGGCATGAAACAGCCAGTCGCCGTAACAGTTTAACGGCGCTAAGTGGCATCAGGGGGAAACACAGCGGGACAAGAACAAAAGTTAAGGCAGCAAAAGCCCGAGTATGGCGGGGGGGACAGGTGGTGGATGGGTCCAACAAACACTGACTTTCACCAGGGAGAGTGGTGATGTAGATTCTAAAGCCAAACCCTGTTCTTCTTTCCTAAGCCCAACCACATGTGTTACTTGGAGAAAAGAATAGTCAAATGCATGTGACATGTTGACACAGAGTCCCAGAACATCAACTACCAACTCACCCAGGGTACCTTTCACATGCATCTGGACGTGGAAAGTCCATGACCAAACGTCTATATGTGACGAGATCGGAGTGAGAATGTGTTGAAGTGCCAAGCGTGAAAGAGATGGAAGAGAACTAGGGTGGAAAACACAAATGGCCCTATCTAGAGCCAGTGTTTGGTTTGTCTGTTCAGGACTCAGTGATAGAGGACTCACTCCATATCTAGATAAACGGCTCATTTTAAGAAAACAAAAACACAACAGTCCTTTGTTTCAGGTTACTATAAACTAATGGAACCATAGTTTTGGATATTAAATACCATTTCTGCCAATAGAGGTCCCCAAATCCTACATACTTGACTTTTAAGTTCTGCCACACATCCCACATAAAACATTAAAAAATATAAATGTCAGTCTTTTTCAGAAGTCCTAGGTGCCATAACAAAGTATATGATGAGGTTGGCCTTGCTTAGCTGAACCCTTTCATGATAGATATAACTAAAGTCATAAAGTATTCAGAGACAAATGAATGCTGAGCTTGGTCTTTAATTTAGTTGACAATAAGAAAAAATGCAGAATAACGTTGGCCTTGTACTTCAGTTGATATAACACAATATGAAAATACAGAAAGGCTCTCTTCTCAGAAATAGTTTAATATTTTGATGTGCAAACATGTTTTTTTATCATCTTAGAAATATTTCAAAAATACCATCCATTTGAACTTCTAAAGACACTGGGACAATTTTACACGCCTTTATGTCATCATGTCTGGATTACTGCAACAGCCTCTTTCCTTACCTGGACCATAAAGCTATTAATCGCCTCAGACTGTACAGAATTCAGCTGGAGGGCTTTTAACCAGTCCCAGGAGACGTGATCACATCACTCCAGTTTTAGCCTCTTTACGCCGGCTCCCAGTATATTTCGGAATATACTTAAAAGATTTTACAGATTACTTTTAAGATTCTTCATGCTCTCTTTTCCAGCTCTTTGAGGTCCTCGGGCAATCTGTTCCAGAAGCCCTGCTGAAAACTAAAGGGGACAGAGAGTTTGCTGTCAGGGAACGATCTGCCTAGGGAAATCAGGTCAGCCGAGTCAGTGATCTCTTTTAAGTCCCATCTTAAAACATACTTTTATTGGAGAGCCTTTCCTGATTTTACACAAGTTTTAAGTTAATTTAAACAATCTTTTATTTCATCATTTTTTATACACTAACGTGCTTTTATTTCATCATTTTTTATACACTAACGTGCTTTATAAATAAAGAATATTACTCATTCATTCATTTCCGTTACCCCTTATCCTGTTGGGGGCTGGAGCCTATCCAGCTGACAGGGTACACCCTGGACAGGTCACCAGACTATCACAGGGCTGACACATAGACACAGACAACCATTCACACTCACATTCACACCTACGGACAATTTAGAGTCACCAATTAACCTGCATGTCTTTGGACTGTGGGAGGAAGCCGGAGTACCCAGAGAAAACCCACGCTGACATGGGGAGAACACGCAAACTCCACACAGAAAGGCTGCCTCCCAGGATCGAACCAGGAACCCTCTCGCTGAGAGGTGACAGTGCTAACCACTATATCACAGTGCCGCCCAACGAATATTGCTTTCTTTCCAAGAGTGAGATTAAGGGATGAAAATACATCTCATAACTGTGCATTAACTATGGAGCTTTAGCCAGTTAGCTTAACTAGCTATTTTAAGTATGGCTCTCTCTTAAAGCGACACTTTTATGCTTTTCTTTGTTTAGGTTAAAATGCTATTAATAAGCTGATGGCACACTAAAATGTAAGTGAATTCCACCAGAGATAAAAACTCATAATTATACCATTCTCATATGGTTCTAAGAAAACTCCGACCAATCATTGCATTCAGACTGAATGCTGTCTGTCTTCCCCACGATCCCCCGACTGATGTAACCACTTGCGTAACCTCTGAAACGTTAACATTATCTTCCCTGTGCCTTTCCACTTACTAGTAACGTTAACGCTACTATCTAATGTTAGCACTGTAACCTTATTCTAAAACTCATCAGTCATCACTGACTCCGGTTGAGTTTTAAAACTCCGGGGTTGCGTTTGACTGTTTTGGTTGTAACGTTACACTCGGTCTCCTCTTCCGTGTATCTTCCGTTACCTTGCCAATAGACGTAATGAGGACGTAATGGAGTAGTAGGTGGGAGGTGGAGTCCAGGAGGAGGGGGGATGGGACTTTGGAGGGAGGCAGGAGTTGTGGATGTTCAAATTTTTTTCTAAGTACTGTGTGAAATGCAAGAAGAGTAGCTTTAAATAATTGTAAATTATTATCTTTTACACTGTGGAGGTTACTAATTTATTTTATTCCTTGTGTTACTGTGAAGCACGTTGTAGCTTTGTCAAGTGAAAGTACAATATAAAGTTATTATCATCAATATTAAATAATAAGGAAATTTTAGAAAACTGACAGAGTTGAGGATAGGAAAATTGTGTTAATTATATTTGTTTTTTAAGGTTAACCCATGTTTATGTCTGAAGTAAGCTAATAAACGTGCAGTAATGTAATATTTCTATTTGATTTACAGCTTTTATAAACTAGATAAGGAACTTTTTATTTTTTATTGCAAGAGCCACGTTTATTATTAGGCTATTCACCATAATTGACATACACATTACTGTTATTTCTGAATTTAACTTTGCATTATGTCCATTATTCTCATTTAATGTAAAGTGGCATCTATGAAAATGAAAGCTTTTACTTTTTAATACTTTATGTTTATGTTTATGTTGGGCTGTTAAAGTTATGTGTAACGTTATATCTGTTTATTATTATTGTTATTATTATATCAGTACATGTAGGCTACTGTAGGTGCAGACTTTGTAGAAAAATGGCGTCTGGTATTGGCTGCCTTCATAAGCGGAGCTGTGCCATCAGTGACCACAACAACATCAGTACATTGTAATTCATCTCCAGAGAATGAAGTCTGCCGCTGCATCAGGACTTGCGTCGGACAAGAAAACACATCCAAGCCGCCGTCATCATGGGAAACTACGGCCGCTCTGCTGCAGATGTTTCTAACAAACAGGGCAATGAAGCTTTTCACGGATACCAGGAGACATGATCGCCTCTCACCTATTTACCGCCCGTTTACTATCGAGGAAGAAGTGACCTTCTCTGAGGAGGAAGATGTCAGCGCTGAAAAAGGTAGGAAGAAGCGTGCACGGCGTCGTGTTTGTGCATGATCCGAGTCTGCAGCGAAGCCTGTTGTTGTTATTGACTGTCAAGTGCACCTACATGAGGTCTGATGGAGATGGAGGTCCTTTTTTTTCTTGACCAGGTGAAGCCGTGTGTGTCGCACCTGCTCACACTCAAAGTGTAAATGTGAGAAAGTTGTGCGGCGCATGGATGAGTCACTAAATGATTATTTCACACACGTCGGGGTGTTTCCTGTACCGATCAATCAATAGCTGAATGATGCATGACGTGTGGGTGAGATGTTGTGATACATGTGTTTGGAGGTGGAGGTGGAGGGAGGGGTGGAGGTGCCATTGAAGCCACTGTGAATGGATGGAGGGGACCCACAGCTTCTCCGTCAAGTTTCTGGTGTCTGTGAATGCCCACACGTTCCCATTGTGCTGTTCCCCTCCATTCAGTCAGTGTATGTGTGTGTGTGTGTGTGTGTGCCTGGAGTGACTCAGCTGTATTGTACTATATCTGTCATCCATCTTTTCATCTGTCACAGGTGTTACCATGGCTACTACAGACTCACTGCTGTCTTTTCTTTGAGAAGGACTCAGGTAAGAGGTGGGAGGGGTGACTAAGTCAAACATAATAAGGAGATGTCATTTAAGTTTAATAGGCAGCTTCATCTACCTCTTTTTTAACATTTATTATAATGGATTATAGTAGTAGAGTCTGAAAGAATGATGGTGTTATGTTGGCAGTTTTCACTAGTATGACTGGACCATTGTGGACTGGTGTAGTTGGTGTTTGTAATAGTATAAACTTTACCCACACACTATAAAGGATAAGTCTGGTGATACTCTCCAGTTTTCAGATTGTAAAAATCACATTAAAAGAGCAGATTTGTCGTTTTAAGTTTTGCCTTTATAGCCAAACTGTGAAACACCTTACTGCTATGTGCCATAGACCTCCATTTTTGACCAGAAATGATTAGAAACCCATCAGTGAGCCACACTACTGGATTGTGTGACACGTTCCTTCATTATCAAAAACACAGGCTCTGCAAAAGGCGACTTTTTACCATGTTTCAAGTTCATAAACCACTTAGACCATTTAGACCTGTGTAATATATCCAGTAGTAAAATAAATAAATAAAAAAAATTTCACACCAGTTTAGGCCATCATACCTGTATATCTAATTTTACCACTAGATGTTGCACTTGACTCAGCAGTAGAGTTCTCAATCTCAACCCAACTCTGCCAGGTCTCAAAAACCCAACAGGTTGGACCACGTTTGGGCCAAAAATTTACGCTGATTGGCCGGGTTGGGTAGGGCTCAGGCTGTGTGAAAAAAAAGTTACCATTATTTTTAAAATAAATAAATAAAAAAAGATTAAAAACTAAGCACTCTGCTAGAAGCTTCCTCTCCTGAGACTCCATGCCGTGCAGAGTCTGTGATCCACCGAGCTGGTCCACTTTCCACTGGAAATGCGTGTGGCTTGCGCCGTCACACAGCCAGTGTGTCCCGGATGTTAGAAGCCTACTAGTGCTTTTTGGGGAGGTTGGCCTTGGTCGGGCTCGGGCTCAGTATTTCATGTGAAGATATTGAACAGGCCAGATTCGGGCTTCAACTCACGTGTGTCAGTTTAGTTTGGGTTGTTAGTGAGTGTGACTGAGTGGAATAGCAAACGAGCGTCTCACTATCTGTTGCACCAAGCTTCATTAAAGGTCTCAGTCCACATTGAATAAAATGAATAAACACTTCTGCTACGTCATATAAACACACCACATACCTATCAGCTGTGTGCTCGAGATCATACTGGAGATGTTACTGCGTAAATGATGGAGGAGTACTGGCTATTTTCTCTTGTTTGAACTTTGTAAACCAAAAACACACATTTTATATTGTGATATTTACTGGAAATTATGTACAATATAGCCATTAGCAGGTTGTTTTTATCGATGACACTCATAGATAAATTTACCTATTTAATGTGGACAAAATAAACAGAAACAGACATGTTTCGGCTACAAATCCATCATCAGCGTCATCAGGCTCCGTAGCTGAAATGCTTCCATTTCTGTTCATTTTGCCCACATTAAATAAATAAATTTATCTGTGCCAGTGTTTCCTTTGTTTTTTGGATCATTGCCACAACAGTGCATCTCTATTTTTGTTTAAGATTTTGGAGTTGTGTTGAAACTTTAAGCTCCCTGGTGATCTCCCTTCAGCCAGCTGCTACCTTATTTTGTTTTTTTTTTTATAGTGAAAGAGGAGGTATGCTATAGATAAAACCTCATTTTAACCTTCTAAATCAGACATTCCTTTCCACTGTGGCACTTTCAAGGTGAGAGACAGGAATAAATAGAAACAGCGGCCTGACAAAAGTTCAGCCCAGAATGATGCGCCGCATCGCTTGCAGCCAGCGAGGACAACTCTTTGGTCTACATCAAATTCAAAATGTTACTATATTGGCAACATACACCTTACTTCCCCACTTCGACCTCTACTAAACTTTGATCTCCTTCATTCGGCCTCAATGCCAGTTCAGTCAGTGTGCATGAAGTCAAACCAGTTTAGTCTTGTACAGGGGACCAGACACAATGAGCCAAACAGCATTGGAAAACCGGAACCTTGAAGTCATGGACAATGCTGAATGCTGAATGATATACCTAGCATACGAGACAATAATATCAAAGACGAACATAACTTGAGCCTAGTCAAAGAATAATTCACTCTTAAATATATACATAAAACTATTGTATGAACTTTAGTGATATGACTTCAACTTTATTATTATCCCGAAGGAAATTTCATCTGCAGCAGGCATCGAGACACAAGAAATACATGAAGGACAACATCAGAGGCGAACTAAATGTGTGTTAATCCGCAGCAGAAAAAAGTTCCTAACAGATGCACAATTTACTCCTTTTTGAGTACTTTTGCTACACAGTACAGTGCCCAGCTGTTTTAGGAAATAATATAACCCTTTAAAAACAAAAATATATATTTGTGACCTATTATAAAAATTGACCTCTTCAGGAGGTGCCAGTGGGTTTGGGACTGAAAGCTGGCCAGCTGACAGGCTGGGGATGTCAAAAGGTCTTTTCAAGGGATTTGTCGACAAAAAGTAAAATATAGAATAATGCTGTATTCTTTAGATGAGTTTCAAACTTAAACTTAAACCTGCATTCATTTTTTTGGCCACTTGGGGGCAGCACAAGCAGTAAACATAATGTTGACGTATTATCACCTCATAACATTACTATGGTGAACATGGCAGACAGTTTCTTATTTACACACCCAGCAAACACAGAGAAACATCTGAATTCCTTTACTGTAGTGTTTGTGTCCACATGATGAATGTAAGTCACATATTTACTCTTCTTTTAGCTCCTTCAGTTTTTTTTTCTCCAACAACTCCAGAGAGAAACATATGGCTCCTTAGTTGGTAAATTCTCTACTCTGTTGATCAGATAGTTGCTAACTTTGTCTGCTGTTTGGTGTTGTGCAACAAGTGTGCAGTGGGTCTATTGCTGCAATCCACTGTATTTGAAAGTTGAAAAAAAAAAAAAACAACAACCCCAAAACAATCTCAGAAAAGGAAAAGTGCAATGTAACGGTAACTTAAGTCAGAAACTGTGGCAGGATCCATCTAGCTTGACTTTGCCGACATAAACATACCTTATTTAATAGCAAGATGGCAGCTCACACAGCAAACTGAACAGAATGTTGATAAATTATTTTAATTTATGTAGTGTTTGTGTTGTGAACATGCTGTAATAATGTTGTTGCTGCCCTCTCCCTTCAGTTCATCCATTATTCATTCATTCATTCATCCATGTTCTACAACTTGATGTTACTGGCTGTGGTGGTTCAGACTATTATGCCCAGAACCTGTTTACACCATTTTGAGCTGTGGTATGTTATATTTTATTCTATATCTTCTACAACATTGTAGTTGCTTGTAAAGTTCAGAGACCTCACATGCAAACTTCTGTTTGCTGTTATTTTCCCAAGCTGATGCACTGGGATGCATTTTGGTTGGAATTCACGAACACTGACTTCTAATTATAGACTTCCGACTTGCAATAGGTTTCAGCATATCAGACCTTCGTCACTGTGAACCTACTGACGCTGTGAACTACAATGAAAAGAGCGGTGAATCAGAACCATCAACTGTATAATAAAGATGGACGTCAGGACAGCTCCCCAAAACTGAAGCCAAACATCTTGATTGTCTGCTGGTGGCTGGCTACAGTATCGGTCATAACAGCCCACTCTCACTCCCAACTCGTAAAATACCACCGCTTTGTCAGTGATGTCAATGTCAAGACATCAATGCAGACAGACACCCTTCACTGCAGTAGTATACACACCGTGCAAGCCAGTTTTAGAGGCAGCAACAACTCACCTTGTCAGAATACCGCTGCTTTGTCAGTCGATGTCGGCGTCAGACATGGATGGACAGAGGCACTCTTCGCAGCAGTATGGTACTCACTCGGCAGTTTGTAACACCACGGAAAACTACTGTAATATAAAGAGCAAGAAAGTCTGTAAAGTGAGGGCAGGAGGGTTGGTGGATAGGTCACACAAACACTAGACTTTTACCCAGGAACCCGCTGTTTGTTTCCCATTTTTTGTGAATTTTAAGCCAATTGTGTTTTTTCTAAACCCAACCAGGGACTTTTATTACCGAAACTTAAGGAAATACCTACCTCAATTCAATCAATCAATCAATTTTATTTATAAAGCCCAATATCACAAATCACAATTTGCCTCACAGGGCTTTACAGCATACAACATCCCTCTGTCCTTATGACCCTCGCAGCGGATAAGGAAAAACTCCCCAAAAAAAACCCTTTAACGGGGAAAAAAACGGTAGAAACCTCAGGAAGAGCAACTGAGGAGGGATCCCTCTTCCAGGACGGACAGACGTGCAATAGATGTCGTACAGAACAGATCAGCATAATAAATTAACAGTAATCCGCATGACACAATGAGACAGAGAGAGAGAGAGAGAGAGAGATGCAGGTAATAACAGTAGCTTACAACAACATTATTGAAAGTAATAATATTATAGTTATAGTTCTGGCTACTGTGGTACAATATGTTGAAAGTATGTATTAATATCTGGCAGTATACATGTGTGACAATAGTCATATGTGTATAATAACAGTAGAAGTATGACTAATGACTAATGATGGCAGCAGCAGCAGGAGGCATCTGGCAGGACCACGGCAGCAGCACAACCACACACGTCACACTGTCCAGGCACCGCTGCGGTATGAGTTATTCTGAGAGACAGTGGAGCACAAAGGCTCATTGTACATTTATTTTGAAAAAGACTGTATGTATAAAACAAGTAGAAACTTTACATTTCCTGTATTATTTGAAAATACACAATGCATGTAACAAGCGTGAATTGACAAGCCCTCCCTGAAAGTCCGAAAAAGACGCAGGATCATGCCTAGCATGTCATTTTTAGAAGTGTAGATCCACTGACAATACGCCAGTATTTGATGAGTTGGAATGCGAACGTGTTGGTCCTAAACCCTGCCCCCTCCATGGGTTTGTCACTATCAGCGACACCTTTTACATACACAGTCTTTTCATCTATTATTAATATAAAAACACTGATTAATGCAGCTTTATATCACATTGAAATTCAACAGGCCTTTAGATAAGCCTGGTACTTAGCACTGTCCTCTTACCAAGACGAAGATCAATTCCCGCTTTCCTCTCTGTGCACTGTGTAAGTTCATGTTAAATGTGATCTGACAGGTGAGATTTTTCTCTATCATTTCCAGACAGGTGGAGAAAGCAAATTAGCCTTGTGTGGTGGAGGTGTTAGCTGTTCTGATGCAAGAAGAATTTGGGCATGGAGCATAAAGGAGATAGTCGTTAATTAGGTAAACTCTGCACGACTCCTTCCCTCAGCAGAGGTCAGAGCACTGAGAACCATCCAAGGAAAAAGCACTGCAGGGGTCCGCTGCCTTTCTCTTGGCATTTTTGGGCATCCTAGATGATCAAATGCTGGCTCACATCAGCACAAACCTCAAATACTATCACTATCACTGTGATGCTTTTGAAGCCAAAGGCCAACACCAATCATGAAGAGAGTAATGTTAAATTTGGGGAATTTTAATTTCTTTGTTATAAATACCACAAACTGACAAACAAGTATTCTCAAGACACTCCCCGACATGAGAACAGAATTTGCTTGTAGCTGGGGACATGTTTGTTGGTGTATAATTCACAGATGAACAAACATTTTGAGGTCAGGTTTGGCTATTTTTACACTGAAGCTTTACCTTTTTGTTCTGCTTATTAATATCTCAGGGACGTTTTGCACATTTAGCCCGACACTAATTGTTACCTTGGGTCTGTAGAGCTGCAGTGTCGTTCTAAATTATAACGGCATCCTTAGATAACCACCGCAGGATCTCAAGTTTGACAGCAGTTGCTCAAATAATGATCATATATGTGTTAATCGCACTCTGAAAATGTCTTTTAAGCCTTACAAATGAGCTGACAGCGGAGTTTCAGCCCAACCACACATCAGAGATTATCTGCAAGTTAAACGTGTGTAGGGTCCTACTGTGCTTTTACAGGCTTTGTCAGCACAAAGGCTCCAGATGAAGTGAATGTGGATACGGGAACATCTCTGCTTGTTTGATGTGCATAACCTAAAGAATTGTTCTGAGTTTTTTTCTTCTTTATCAGCCATCCGCAGAACTTGCTCTTGATCATACCTTGCTCATCATTTTCTCAAGGTTGAGGCAGAGTGTTAATTACTGCGTGGACTGGATCATTTTAAGGAGTATAAAGCAAGCAGGAGCAGTGATGCTGTTTATGACTTTTATTGCATGAGTTCAAGCTTTAAAAATGAGCATGATGAGCTGATATAATTTCTGTTGTTTCTGTCGTTTTTATTCTAAAACAGGATTATAGCACAAATGTGTAAATCTTTAAAAATTTCCTGGAGGGCTTCAGATCAGTGTTGCACCACTAGGTGGGACTGTTGACTTGATAACATAACGAAACGCTGCTATGACATACCTACTGGTGAATTTCAAAAACTGGCCATTTCAGAATCCACAACAGACTCTGTGCTGTGTTGGGAAAATGTATTTACTCAGTGGGCTTTCTCATGCTGCTCAACAGTTTATGCAAGCAGCAGTGGAAGGGTAAATTTGTTGGGACTAAAAGCACAGTAATCAAAGATTGTTTTGTGTCTCTCTGCTGTGGAAATGTCCTCACTAAAATTAATTAAATATATAATCTCTTTTACAGTTATATGTCAACTTTCATGATAATTTCAGTACAGTTGCAGCTCTTGTGTTGTCCTTACTGTCTCATTCATGATTACTAATAGGTGAAATAAGTTTAGCTAATTTTGATCTTTGTGTCCACAGTGTTTTGGCAAACTGAGACAGTGATATATACATATATATTTTCATTTTGGTTTCATTTGAGACTGGGCAGTTTCGAGAATGGGAGTGGAGGTCTTGTAAAAAAAAAAAGGCAGCTTATTTTAAAGGTCCAGTGTGTTGGATTAATGAGGATATATTGGGAGCAATGGAATATACAGTAATATAATAAGTAGTTTTTCTTAAGTGTATAATCACCTCGTCTTTGTCTACAGAGTCCACCATGTTGCACAGCCATGTTTCTACAGTAGCCTGGAACAGACAAACCAAACACTGGTTCTAGATCGGGCCATTTGTGCTTTGGCGTCTACCCCTCCATGATGAGCCAAACAGCATTGGAAAAACACTGATTTTTAAAGTGAAACTGCTCTATTCTGTGTTTTTACCAATGTAAACCACCTGGTTGGTGTGTTTCGCAAGGGAATAGATTTCTGTTGATAATTCGGCTCCAAGTAAAAAACATTTTTTAATAAAAAAGTTTGGCCAACAACAGCAGGTGCTGGATTTGCGACCCATCTGTGATGAGCCGAACAGCGCCAGAGAAACACTGATTTGTAACATGAAACTGTTTTATTAAGTCTTTTCACTGCTTTTAAACAACTATAATAATAATTCGACTTCCAGATGGGAGAAGTTTCAGCTGGTTGCAATCTGCAATCCTCACCACTAGATGCCACTAAATCCTTCCTAAAATCTTACATACTGCTCCTTTAAAACTTGTAAATGCAGCTTGGTACGAATTAAAAACTGGAGGGGGTCACCTCAATAACAGTTAAACATCTAACAACATACACTGTCATCAGCTACCTAAAGAAGACCAGTTTCAGTTCACTTTGACTTGCTGCATACAGAACCGTACAGAGTGGAATAACAGAAAGCCAGGTTGAACAGCGAATAGTGACTGTCGATCACGACCGTTTAACAATTAGCAGGAGACAAGAGTGGGTTGAAAACCTTTGTCTCTTTCCAAATATTCACCTGCACAGAAGACGTGTAAGAAACAGTTGCAGAAAGCATCAAGGCATCAAGGTTTTGCTCTTACATACACGAGGTTTTGCATCTTTGTGTCAGCTTTGTCTTTCAGTGTCCTTATCCAAGTGGTCCTTCTTTTCTATTTGCATCAGCTATTGCTGATGAGTCTTTTTCATCTAGCGAAGGAGCGCTCATATTTCTCTCGAGTAGCACCTCGACTCCTTCAGAATACCAATAAGTCTTACATTGGGCCTAAAATCAATATGATCCTTTCCAAATCTGTATTTATTCCTCTCTCAGATTGTCTCTCAACCTTAGAAGCTCTGCTGTGCTGTAGGACAGAGAAGAGACTGGTGAAGGAGGCAGGACGTGAGGGGAATGTGAGGGCGGATGAACTTGGAGACCAAGTGTTGTTCTGCTGATTGGTGAAATTTGCAGTGCTGTAGTTTGGATAAGAGGTTGTCTCAGTACTTTGAGAGACGGGAATGTGTCCATGTCTCATGTCGTAATCTGCTTGGATCTGGTGCGGGTGAAGTGGACCCGTCAGTTTTGGCATGCTTCCTGTTGTTCAGTTCTCGGCAACTTTCTCCGTGGACTGTATGCCATTTAAACACCTGCACATGGCCTGAAAAACGTGTCTGATCTCGGTGACGTCATCAGGGTCCCGACAAGACCAGGAAACAACTCCCTCCCTTTCGGTCGGAGGAGTGATGTCATCGCAGGAAGAGCGTGAGGTTGGCTGAGGCTTTATTGAGCTTGACGTTTTATTACCAAGAGCACCAGACGTATGACCACATGCACCAGTCAGTACGAGGACACAGAGCAGGAAAAGTGAGAGCCAAGTGACATGGCAACACGTTTGTGACACGTTATAACCCCCCCTGAGAGGGAAAAGGAGTGTGAGGCAGAGGCACACAGAGAGACAGAGATGCAGATAGAAACCCAGAGGGGAAGAGGGACAGCATGAGTGTGCATGCTGATGGGGATAGGAGCGTGTGGAGCTACAGAGCTGCAGAATCCTGAATCCAGCAGATGGAGACTCCGTGTCCTTGTTTTGCGGTGATCTTTGGGAGCAACATGCAGCTCGCGCCGCTGCCTCGCACTGCTGCAGTGGAGGAGTAAATG